GCACAAAAAGTATTCTCGTAGCTTCGTATAATTGCGGATGAACCACTGATGTCACATGGATTATTTTACAGATCTCCTTGCTACATTTCTGGACTTGGGAACATTTCAGTTGCATTGCTGTCTATGCAGGGTCAGACAGCTCTCAGATTCCATCAAAAATACCTTAATTTGTGTTCCGAAGATGAACGAAGGTCTTACGGGTTTGGAACAACACGAGGGTGAGTAATTAATGACAGAATTTTCATTTTTGGGTGAACCCTTTACATTTTTTTGCATTATTATGTTCATAAATTCTGAATTTTTTTTGTTTTGATACCTCAGTCCACTTAGGTTAATGACACATGTTATTAACGGTGATGTGCTTTCGGCGTCTGTTGCAGGTCCCAATCAGAACTGGAACCAGGGATACGGAAATTACTGGAATCAAGGTTATGGAAATTACGGGAACTATGGCTACAACAATCAAGGCTATGGTGGATACGGGGGCTATGATTACTCGGGTTACAACAACTACTACGGATATGGTGACTACAGCAGTATGTAATACTGTTTGTGAACGCACAGATGAAAAAACTAAGGATATATTGTATCGTGGATTGTCGGTACTCGACCCGGACTATGACAGTTGTGCACTAAATTATCTGATGCTTGTATCATACATGCCTTACGCTTCGAGAGAAATCTCTAGAACACTGCTGCAGTTGCTTTTTGTCCTACAGGGAAGGCTTGCTTGCAAAAAGCGATACTGTACATATGTATTATAATAACTATGGTGCTAAATATAGAAAGGGATGTCTTAGCTTCAAAACACATCTGTCAAAGTGCCTTTGAATCCATTGGACGTGTAAATCTGTAGGCCATGCAAGAAATGACCGCCGGACGGCGGTCGTTTTTAGAAAATAATAAACAGTTTTCAAACATTCATTCACGCCACAGATCTGTGTCTCTCACCACATTTTCACAATACAGTATTTTGAAAGAATGTTTGAATACGATTAACGTAAGTATCTCGCAAGTGTCACGAAATTGGCTCGAAAACCCGAAATTGCTAAGGCTGTTGTCTGTTTTCCGCCTTTCTCGAGCGCCCGTGTGCCAGCACGTTTAACCGTAGATGTCTGCGTTGTTTGTGTTTTGTGCTCCTAACTCTAGATCAGCAGAGCGGCTACAGCAAATCCCCGAGGCGAGGCGGCCATCAAAACAGTTACAAGCCGTATTAACGGGAAACGTGCAGGTATGTTGGCGCGTTGCTCACGCCGACGCGTCTCTAAATCACCATTTGTAAACATTTTTTTTTTGTAATGTACGTTGCTTAATTTTTGTTTTTCTCTAAAGTTTCACAGCACCCTGAAGTGCTTTACAGTAGTGGTAACATAGAGACTTTTGGCAGTAATGTAACAGCTGGCTTTTGGCTGTTTCTTGCCGTTTTGTTTTTAACTGTAAAAATTAACAGGTACAGTACTGCTAAATGGGTACCAGAAAATAAGGAATTACAAGGAAAGAAAGCCGAAGAATGTTGTCTCCTAACTCTGACATATACCTTGTTTGTACCTGCCAGCGGGGACTTCCTTGCAGGCCATGAGCTGACTTCCCGATTGTCTCAGGCCCGCTCAATGCGGACAGGGTACGAGAGGCGTACGCTCTCGAATGCTCCCATTTGGTATGGTCTTCCAACATCCTGTATACGAATTGTAAAAACTACTACAGCAACAAAAACATAAAAAGGACACGTCAAGCTTTTATCTTCTGTTTTGTTCTGTGTGTATTTTTTATTTCCTCTTAAAACCTCTTGGGATTGGTCTTATGTAATAATATATTATAATGTAATGCCATTTTTTCCAGGCGCCATCAAGTAATGGTAAAATATGAGACGAGAGCCGGAATTAAAATTAACCGTTCACTTTTTGAAGGATACGGCTTTCTCTGGACTTTCCAGTGTTAATATGCACTTCTAATCTAATCTTACCTGTAATGCTTGCTTTTCTTTACTTGTAGCTCGTGTAGCTGTAATATCCTGTAGTCCATGAGCTAAAAGCCGGTTTGTACTTGGATGCCGCTGCGCTGGAGAAGTGCTTTTTTATATTTGTATTGTGTGATTTTCTACTGACAGCGGTGGAAAAAGCTTCACCTGTAAACCGTGTTAATTTCATCTAACGGATTCTCTTTTTTATTCTTTTGAAATCTTGGAAAGGTCATATTGTTTTGCTTGTAATGCTTTCCTTTTTGTCTTTTAATTTCCACCGATGCAAGGTTTCGCATTAAATGTTATGATTCCACGAGTTTTTTAATTTAACACTATTGTATTTGCTATCATTCTATTTCAAAGTCTTGTCTCCTTATTGAAATTGTTAAAGAATTGGGATTCCTTTACATTTTATGAGTTTGCGTCTTTCTGAAGCATAACTGTTATTTTCTTTTTTGTTTTTCAGGTGGAAGGGCGAATCGAAAGCCAACCCTGAGAGGAGAAAACAAGAGGGCCAGACTTGTTAAAAATGGAGTTGATCAACACATTGCTACACTTTGGTCGCCAATGAATTCACCAGTTCTTTTAAACCAGAAGTTACTTTGAAGGACACGCACTAAAGAAGATTTCAAATGGGAACGTCCAGAATATTTGTTTTTGTGTTTCATTTGTTGTAGCTTGTGTCCGTTTATAACCGTATTCCCTGCTGTGTTGCTCTCATACGTTTCTGTGTCGAGTACAATGAACCATGGAGAGCCCAAATCGTTTAGAAATTATTTGTATTCTGGTCTATTAATTTATTGCTTGCAAGTGCGTACAGAGTGTAGGCCATTTAATATTCATTTCATATTGCAGTATTTTGCAACAGCGTCATGTAAACCATTTGAAAATACAACAGAATAAAGTGTATGAAACTCACGCCTGTTGTTTCTTCAGAGATTAAAGTCATAGCTCACCCAAAAATGAAGACTGTCATCATTTACTCCTTCATGTTATTTCAATCCAAAATGACTTTTTTTTCCCCCCTCTGTGGAACACAAAAATCCTGCTGTTTTCAATATAATTGCCGTCCATCTTTAAAATAACAACAAAAAATGCACAGTTTGACTTATATTACGTTATATTCCCAGTCCCTAAAGGGACATAATAATGGAAATTATAAATTACAAGCACACTGTAAAAATTATTTTGGTAACAATTAAAGCCTTTGTTTATAATGCGCTATAAAAGTAGTCAACGGATCAATTATGCCTGGTGATGCACCTTATAATGCATTGTATGATCTGATCTCATGAATAATTGTAACCTCAGTTATAATACGTATCTATTTATGGTTACACCTTTAGAAAGTGTAATGCATTAAAACACACATCAAACTTTCACATAATGCATTTTAACTTTGGTTACAATTATTTATGAAAATATATAATGCATTACAAGATATAAATGCATTTTGAGTGAACTGTTCCTTTTAAAAGCTTCAGTCTGGCATGCAATTATTTTTACAGTACATGCCAATCAGTATTTCCTGCACAGAACATATGCATACATAACAGTCATACATCCTCTTGACAGAACAACTACTGACTGATACATTGTAAGGGTTTAAACGGAAAGATGCAAAGAAATTCAGGCCAGACTATGCACTTTGTGAAGGTATAAAGTCAGTGTCATGAGCACAGAGTGATTTCACAGAGGTTAAAGCATGAGAAACATTCCAGGAGTCACGAGTCACTGTCAGAAAACAATCCACAGCAACAATCCACTTTACAATAAGGTTCATTAGTTACCCACTTTAGTTAGCATGAACTAAGAATGAACAATACTTCAACAGCATTTATTAATTTTAGCTGATGTTAATTTCAACGTTTACTAATGCATTATTAAAATCAAAAGTTGTGCTTGTTAACATTAGTTAATGCACTAATGATGATCTAACAATAAACGACTGTATTTTCATTAACGTTAACAAAGATGAATAAATGCTGTAATAAATGTATTGTTCATTGTTTGTGCATGTTAGTTAATACATGAACTAATGGAGCCTTATTGTAAAGTGCTACCTGCATATATACACACCCCGGTCATATTTGCCCCAGATTTATATAGAATATCACAGGAAATGTCAATATAACAAAAATAGTAATTTAGCTATACATAAATGTATCCAGTTACATTCATAGTAAAAAATGTCATTAATTCTTAGAGAATACAGACGATTGAAATGGATGTCTTAGGTGGGAATGACTTGTGTTGCTAACAGGATGATTAAAATGATGATGGCGAGCACTACCACACCAATTATAATCATCATCTTGGTGTTTCTCCACCACATCTTTCTGGCAACACGAGTGGACGTCCTTTGAAACGAGTCAGCCTAGGCAAGATAAATACACAAATAATCAATTGTTATCATTAAAAAAGAAAGAAAAAGTTTTGAGACTGGTTTGATCATCTGGCACCATGTTATTTTGAGGTCTTATAAAGATCAACATGGTCAAGAAATGTTACACATTGGTCTCATTTTGATGGGTCTCAAAGGCTCACCGTGGCCTGCAGATCGTCCGTTATGCCGATCAGGTCGTCTAACCGCTCTCCTCTCTCCAGGACTTTGTTGATGTTGTCTGTGAGGATGACTTTAACATCATTGACTTGATCCTGAACTTGGTTGAGTGTGCTAGGCGCTTGTGTTTCAGTGTTTTCGTCAGCCTACATTATAATGAGAAAAACAAGAGTAAACCACTGGACCCAACATAACAACACACATAACCGGTGTTGGGGAAAGTTACTTTTAAAAGTAATGCATTATAGTACTGTGTTACTCCATGAAAAAGTAACTAATTGCATTACTTAGTTACTTTTTATGGAAAGTAATGCATTACGTTACTTTTTAATAAGCAAGGGCTGGGCTTGCTTATTTGATCTTAATAAAAAAAAAAACCAGATTTTTGGCAACATTTAAAAGCCCTTTCACAGCGAAAGGGAAATGAATAAGCCTCAGGCTGAAGGAAGTGCTTCTGCACTCACTCCTGATTTCTCT